TTAATTATGGGCGCGTCATAAAGTGAAACAGAATTTCGTCTACACTGACAATTTTTACCTTCACAATTTCCATCCATTTGTTTTAACATTTCCATTGGTCCCGAACGAATCATTATTTATTGTGAAGAAGTTAAGAGTTCTTTTAAATTTCTTGGTAGAATAATAAGCCTTGCTTGTCAGATTGAAAGTCACGGATGGTAATTAGGATAATAGAGCAATTTATTGACCCTGATCTTCTTGATGTGTCTCAACAGGTAGCCCTCTTCACTACGCCGATCTAAATAAATTTCATAGTATTTTCTCCCAGCCTTCTTTACCCCCTAAACTCGTTGTAATTAAGGAGCCCATAGAGAATTCCGTTCATTTAGGTTTGGCTATTCGGACGCTCTGTGGTAATTTTTCTTCTCTGTTATCAATAATATTAATGGCAAGACTTATCTCTAAATGTGATATAACCTGAAAAATATTACGTGTTGAGAAAGCTAGGCAACTCTAGTGAGGTATAAAAGAAATGTTAACACCAATGCATTATTAATTTTGTTTCTTTTATTAAAAAATTTCCTGTTCACTTGTTCTTGATCAATATCGAATTTCGAATTGATAAAAGCAGATCCGCCCGTCATCCGCATTTTCCTGGCTGCCCCACTGAATGTATAAATTACGAATTCGGCAAAAACAATAGATGTTCTTGCACACAGGTTGGTATTGAAAACGAACAAAACCACGAAATATACCTACAATATGACTACGTACAACCCTGTTTTCAATTTTTTCACTTTTGAAAACGAACATGTTTTTTACTTATTATTTAAAAGTTACAAGAGCAATTCTAGTAAATAAGCAAATTATGTTTGGCTGTAACCGAAGTTTTTATATCCATCCAACGTTTTCATTCGAAATACTACGGAGAAATAAGCATAAAAGAAGTAAATTCCTATATTCTAAAACATTCTTAGAACGATTTGGCCCATTCTTAATACCAACTTGTGTGCACGAACTTCCATTGTTTTAGCTAAATTTGAAGCCGATATCTAAATTTTTACGAGCAGGAAATCGAACCGAAGGGGCAGCTTACGAATGAACAAACATGGCTACCGGCACAGCTGTAGTACAAAATAAACTTAAAATGCTTTCAAAACCAAAAAAAAACAGTAGATTTTCCTCATTGCTTATAACCTGCACTAGAAACAAGGATAAACTTAGCTACATATACCTATAGATTACCTTCCAGCACATGTAACAAAATGGGAAAAATCATTTTCCCTTTTTTTTTGCTTTTTAAGACAAGGATGGTGGGTGTAAAAGAGTCGTTAATGGCCGAATATAATTTCTTTTTTTGCTAATTTTGGTGATTGGTTCCATCTCCCATCAGCTTTAATCATTTTTACGACTTTTTTAATGCTACGTGACAGAGTTCCGCAATTTTGTAGCATTTTATAGAATATAGTACACAGTAAACAAATATATAAATATACATGCATATAGTAGATGTGCATACATTAGATGTACATACAAATTTAGATATTGATATAAGTAAGCTTCAGCTATTTACAAGAGATGGGTGTAATTTATGGAGCTATATCCCGTCCTTTTTACACTTTCTTTGAAATAACAACACCAATGAGAGAAGATACACTTTTTTTACACGAATATTTTATTCTAGTATGAATTCAAAAAAAACATTTTTTTTTATTCTAATTTTGACAGTGTCTCACAGAAACAACAAAAAATTTAATTGAGGAAATCATTGGTGATTAAAAGTCAGTCAGTTTATGCCCACAACATGCGTTAGTGACTTGCTACTACTACTACTACTACTACTGGAACGAATAAAATTATTAATTTTTGCACGGATTTTAAAGGAAAGCATCCATCGTGCAAAAAAGAGTTGAGTGTACATTTTTCCTGTTTTAACTAGAATAACGTGAAAAAAATGCAACTCAAGCTACAAAAATGATTAAGTTGAAAACACACTAAGTTATGAAATCGTTAGAAAGCACTGTGCAGGATTTCGGCCCAAAAATGTTAGTTTTAGTCTTAAAAATGATGAAACCCACATACTTCCACCCGTCTCCATCAAAAGTAACGCAGCAAATAATTTTTAGTTTAGACTGGGAAATTTTACCCTATCCCGCATATTCTTTCGCGCAGGCCCCTTCCGATCGCAGAGGTCTACGTAAGTTAAAGATGTGCGAGAATCGGTGGATCCTTATTTCGCCTCCAAATCGGCAAGGATTCACCCGTGATGGCATCCATAAACTAACAGGTAAATGGCAAAAAAATCATAGGTAATGATGGTACATATTTTGATTATTAACCTTTATAACAAGTCTACACTAAATAAAGTTCAATTTTATCAAACAAAGAAACGTATTTACTTGTACACCTATATATATAAATGTATGTATATATACATGTATATATATATAAAACCACACATAACAAAACAGTATGTTCACATTTTGCCTTTTTAAGTATGGATGTTTATCTGGCGAGGAACCGATGGATCTTATTGTAAGCCGCATATTACAATTTTAATTATAAAATATTCATAAAATATAAAATCAAACCTAATATTCTTAATAAGCTAATAATTATTACGACACTATGTTTGAGAGTTTAATTACAAAACACCCAAAGACCTTTCGCATCTAGCTAATTTAGTATATTTGGAAGATGGCATACATACAAAAAAATATATACATAGAGAGAGACATACAAAGAAATTACCGCTTTTGCGCTAAAGTGAAATTTATTATAAATTAAGTGCGCAGATGTCGCATACGCGTACACACTATCTACGTTTTGAATAGAATTATTCTTTCCTCTTATGCGTTTTGAAGAAAGTAAATATATGCGTCTGCATAGCATGTATCCTAAAAAATTTTACAAACAAATTATTATGCAAATATGATGCGCGCAATTAAATATAAATACCGAAAAAAACATTTGTATTTAAATTTTTGAATAACCATTGCTATGCTCACGCATTATGATATTTATTTGTAAATTAGTGCAAACATCCGTTTGTTGGATAAGCATTTTATATCGTATCGTAAATATCTCATATATCATGTTTTTATAGAATTATAGAAATTAAGTTATATTCACCTTTTGTTTTGGGTAAATGCGCAGAGCATGGCCAAGTCGATTACGCTTACTTTAAATTATATTTTATTGCTTATTTGTATGCATTAAAAAAAAAGATTCAACAAATTAAATATGTCCGACGAGAAGTAGTTATAAAAAAAATTAAACCAATCATTTGAAGTGTATACTAAAACATTTGTATGATGATTTTAATATGATGATAGTGTGGTAAAATGCATGAGGGTGAAGAAGGTGTATAACTACGCATAGATTTGATTTTTAAACACTTCATTGAAGATTCACGGAATGTGGCAGCAAAGTGCTTTATTTTATATACTTCATCTATATTGTAATCTTGACAGATTAATCAGCGCTTAATTGTAAGCAAATAAACATTCATATCTTTATATGCCCGCAAGTTAATTTCACGTAAACGGGTATCTGATCAAACGTACGTATCTTTGTTCATATACATAATTTTATAGAATATAACAAAATTAAGAGAGTCCTCACGTATGCATCATTACAGGAAAAGAATATGTGAGAGGAGAATCAATATATTTGAAAATAACAGCAGATTTTTTATATGATATATTGATGATTATATTATATAGATGATTAATAAATATACTTAGAAACGTAATAAGCACTAAAACAAATAAATAAAAATATAGGCTTTCCTATTTTAGCGTATTACTGGCAGCTTCACCTAGTCCTGATATTTTTTGAAATTTTAAAATTTGTAAATGCATAGTTGCAGAACATACCTAACACATATACTTTTCTTTACATTTATGTATTTTCAGTAGTTTAGAAATAGAATTATAAGTTGACTTTTGGTATGTCTTTTCTCACATTGAAATTTTCATTATAAAAAAACGTTTTTATAAAACAGGTTAAGGTTGCAATTCCATCTTTTTTTGCTCAAAATTGTCTTTATTAATTAATAATCTTATTTTCTCCGCTGTAAATATGCAGACAGTTTACTGAAGGTTGGTGGGTAGTTTGTAGTGAAGTATATCTATATAAAATCTACACACATTATATAAATATAAATTACATAAAGTCTATTTATTTAAATTCATTCTGAACTAAAAGCCTATAAACATATCAAATTAAAAACCAAGGTTAGAAATGGAAATTTTAATAAAACAGTTGGATGGAAAGAGAAAAGGGAAACAAAAAAAAATCATGAGTGACTCGCAATCAGCTGCTGCTCTTTATTTCGAAACAAGTAAACAAAGAAACAATATAAATAACTGACAGACAAAAACAAGTAAGATGATGTACAAAATTAAAACTTCATATTGTCATACAGTTATTATAGGATAATTAGGGTATTTAAAAAGAATTAGAAACAAATTAATATAATAAAAATTACTAGGGTAGGCGAATTCCTTAACCGGTTTTAGTAAACATGATTCCTACATATAAGTAAACTTATCTCAATTATCCACAAGCAAAGGTAGTATCAAAATTTTGTAATTGCATTTAAAAAGGAAAAAAAATGTACGTTTTATTGAATACTTGTACCCTTAATCCGCATTATTATCAATATATCAGTGTCCTTGTCTGCCGGGCTCAGTAAAGTTCTAAAAATTGATACGAAAACAACACAAAATTTCCGCAAAGGTATCTTTGATAAAAAAAAACCCTAGAAGATAAATATTAAATGTTCAAGGACAAGCTAAGACCTCTGATTTTAGTAATAAAAAATTTTGCTCCCAAATATTTACAGGGTCGATCTAAATATTCAGTCTCGAAATTAATATCCCGAAAGTTACTTTAGGTTAGTTTAAATCGGTTGACCAAAAAATATTTTGAGATAATAGTTTTGTAAAATTCTGTCCATAGACAATTAGATTTCTTCATGCTAAACTATATTTTTCAGTCAATTTTGAATTACTCACCTGATACATGGCAGTCTTGGGCAGATCTAGACAAACTGCACAGCACAGTATCCCACCCAACCGACTTTCAAGCTTTTCAATGGTTGCTGAACTAACCAGTGAAGAAGTGGATGGGTGATCTAACTTTTGCTTCTTCGACGACTGCTCGCCAATATCCGGAACTGTTGGATTTATGGTATTAGTATTGCTATTGTTAATATTCGTCTGTTGTTGAGTTGGGGCTTGTTGTTGTTGTGGTATCAAACTTGACGAAGTTGAGGCTGACGTTGGGCGTATCAAAGCTGAAGTAACTGCAGAATTAATCACACCGCCTCCACTAACACTACCGGCAGCTAACGAAATACCACCAGCCTGTCCAACCGACTGTTGTTGCATTGGACCACTATTATCTGTTAAGAGTTCAGCTGCAGCCAGTAAAGGAATGGAATTCATATGACCGCTAGTGGTAGAGGAAGGGGGCTGCTGCACAGCGCTTGACGAACCCACATCAGCCATTTCACTTTTCCTTCAATTAATTTATTTACCCACTTATATAAGCAAAAATTTGCAATTGTTTAAAACTACGCCCAAAATTTTCTTTATATTTTATCGCTTCTTTGCTGCGTTCTCGGCTCAAATCGATTTTTCTAAATATAGAACGCTAGTTAAAATTCTCAGAAAATTTTTTTCTCACTCAAAAGTTGACCAAATTTCAGATTGAAAAATGTTATGTTGTTGCTTATGAAAAACTTCTAAATCACTTAATTTATACAAAAAAAAAACCATGTAAAATTGAAGATTTTTCAAGGCAGTCTTTGTTATATCAAAGCTTGCAATATCTACCGTAACCACGTCCTCTTTATACAAAATAAAACAAGAAAATCACCCCAGATTATTTTACTTTATTTTTCGCTCTATTCTCTTCATTTCTAATACACTTCTATATACATTTTGACAGAAATAGCCTTGCCATAAGGAAAAACTTGTAAAGATATAAATATTATGAATTTATTTAACTAGTAGAGATGTCAAACTAGGCAACAAATGTTTTGATTCTACTCTAATTCTTATATGAAAGTCTTGCATTCTACCAATAAATGCTCTAGGCACAAAAAACTAGATAACCCATAATAGCTAGTATAAATTTCAGAAATTAGTTACAGTTAAGTTCAAATCAATTTAGAAAAAGTAGTTATTATGTTCTCATTTCACTAATTGAATTCGTTGCTATACAAATAAGCGTTTGGAAGGGATTACGCTCCTCTAGTTGCTTGGGTCAATATTTTCTGGAATAGCTAACATAGTATTGAGGTTTCTAAATGTACACGTTTCAACTTCCGATCCTTGGTGCAGTGGCGGTTTAACCATATGGGATTGCAATAATATACGGATCCGCGTTATCTTTTGAGAGGAAACATGGTTGGTCGAATATAGCCAGTCGCAAGAGCATTGCGCTCTAGTTTCTTAAGAAATATGCATTCACTGACAATGTAAACAAATAAAAACGATTTGAAAAATGACATCTGATGTGATTTGCATCAACACTAAAAAAAACGTTGCTTATTTATCGAAATTTTACTTCGCAACGAATTATTGCTAAAACCAAGCTTTCGAAATTTTCATTTCGAGATTTTTTTTGTAAAATTGTCCAGCGGTTGGACGGTATGTTTTCTTTTTTAATTTGTCCGAAACTTTCAGTTTATAGTGAAAATACATTTTGATAATTGTCAATATTTTAAGTAATAAAAACTTCTAGTCTATTATCCACTTTCTTAATGGCATTAAAAAATCCCACAATTTCAAAGAAAAGATTGGCAATCGGCGCAGCTGCTCTTAGATCAACGTAACAAAGTAAATTTTAAGATGCAAAATCACCTGCCTAAGAATAACCTGAGAGATTGAAACAACATTGAAAGATGAATTAAAAATTGTAGGTTTATTTGACATTTATAAATGAGAATTCTTTTCTTCATCTTTAATTTTATTAATCTGATAATTGTGTTTCTTTTTGTTCGTTTTCTTTTCATTGATATGTGAGGGTCTCATTCGTTTCTCTCATTATAAATCAAAAGTATAGCTTGCAACCAGAAAGTATAGATTGCGACCAAAAAAGTATAGCGTGCAACCAAAAAAGTATAGATTGCGACCAAAATAATAAATGTTTAATTAGAGAAAGAAACACACAGAGAAGAGAGATAGACAAGGAAAGTGAACGGGAGAGAATTAAAAATTCTAAACAAAACATACAAAGCACAGAACACAAACAATCAAATAAAGACAAATGTACAAAAATCCAACAGTAACGGATGTACATCGAATGTCCCAAGTATGATTTTAATTTAACAAAGTAAGATAAAAAACACCCTATAGTAGTTTTTTTCTAATGATTTCAATCAAAAAGCAATGAATTTTGTCGCAGCAAATCTCAATCACAAGAAAAAGTAGCCGTATCTACAAGCATTTATATGGAATTTTTATAGCGTTTTTTTTTCTAAATGAAAATATTTGTTTTACGTTTTACAATAATGGTTCAATTTTATTTTGCTTGTGTCTCGAGAAGTGTTGGAAAGTGTTGGAAAGAGAGCCCGCAGCAAATGCTTTGCATACTTTTTATGCAAAAATGTTGCTATATTTTGTTAGTTAAAAGTTGATTCATTCATAAATCTTTACGACTTAAGTTTTTATGTAAGCATTACGAACATACATTGGTACTAATTATCTAAAAATTAAGATCAATTTCATCAAAATTAATTACGTTTGAATGAAATCTGCGAAAGCGAAGAAGAAAAATATCGTCTAAATCATATGAAATTTAAGATTTACGGCGAATTCGATATATCCATGTTATCCGATTTTTCAACGCTGACAGATTTACGAGACTTGGAATCAGCGCTTGATCTAGTGCTTTTAACCTCCATGTCTTCAGAAATAGTTTTCAATTTTCGATCAGCTGGAGTGCGTGAACGGTTTTTTGATGAGGATGATGACGACGACGATATATTGTTTGTCGATTTTGTATTTGGCAGACCAATGTCTTTGCTGCGACTGGAACGTGAACGCACAGATGCTGGCGATGGTGAACGCCTTTTGCTGTGCGAACGTGATGATCGCGAACGTTTTTCTTCACGTGTGCGGTGCGAGCGTTTACGCTCACGAGACCGCGAACGTTTTGTGCGTGAACGAGATCGACGGGATCTTGAAGAGCTGCGACGATGACGAGAACGCGAACGTTTGCTACGACGATCCCGAGAGCGTGATCGTCTCTTAGAACGCGAACAAGATCGACTTTTGCGACGAGAACGGGATCTTTTACGGGAGCGCGATCTTTTCCGCGATCGCGAACGCCGTGAACGGGAACGAGTCCGTCTCTTCGATTTGCTACGCGACCGCCTTCTAGTACGCGAACGAGAACGTTTTCGTGATCTCGAGCGGTGAGAACGAGACCGACTTGTGCGACGGTCACGAGAACGCGACCGAGAACGCGATCGTCTTCTTTTATCTTTGGCCAGCATACCAATAACTGGATCAATTGCGGCTGAAATCATATTCTGCGCTTCTTTGACAATAGTCATCGCTTCCTCGATTTCTTTTTGCGCTGCTTCGTTCGATTTCGCCTCAGGCTTTATAATGGCATCCGTTGAATGGTATATATTCAAATAGCCATTTTTGAATTCCTGACCTTGCATTTTTAAAGCATTAATAATACTTGATTGTTCGCAAAATTCAATCATACAATAAGTTTTGTTGTCCTTTTCGGCCCAACGAGCATACTTGACCTCGCCAGCGCGTTGAAAGCAGTCCATTAGATCATCTAGACGCCATTCGTTTTTCACATCACATACGATTATAGTTCGCCGTATTTCTTCTATTTTGCGGGTGTCATAAAAAGAAGGTAATGCCGGATACTCTGGCAAATTGTTTTCTAACAATTTGGGATCATAAGTTTTAATAACCTAAAAAATTAAAATATACGTCCTAAATGCACGTATACCTTCAACTTAAACTTACTTGCTGCGGTGATTGGCCTTCGATCCGGTTGATTACTTCGGGTGGTAATTTAGAATCTGGCTTTTGCAAACCTGGTACAATAGTTCCATTCTTAGACATTTCTAAAGCTCTATACTCTTCCGGTATAGCCAAAACGGGTATTACGATTAAAGCGCGATCGATGAACACCGTATTTGTCAAGTGCTGAGCTACTGGGACGCAGTTGCTGTCAATGTACTTTACATAGCATATACGAGATGTCACTGGACAAGAGACGTCTCTTACTGTAGGATATAAACGTATCTCTTCTATTTTTCCGATGTTGCCAAATAACGCTTGCATTTGATCCTTTGTAGCCTGAGGGGCAATATTGGTCACCTGAATTACGCGTGGCGCATTTCCGCCAGCCATGATTCTTCCCGTCCTCAACTTCCGTAAGGAAATAAATTGCAGCGACTTGTGTCTAAGAGCGCTAAAAAATAATATAAAATTAAAGTCTTACGAGGCAATCTCTTAACCACACTAAATGAATTAATTATACCGAGCTTTATTTTATGTTCTAGGGAAATTAAATTTTACTGTCGCCAAAATTTCAATTAAGCTATAAATGCCATTTTAATATGCTCTTTTTGGCATAGTCAAAGTTGCCAGCATAATTTGGTTTTTTGTGTAAATATGTTTTCGAGTTTTCAGAAGTCAGAAGACGATTACACTTGAACTATGCCGTTCGAAATTTAAGACGCGAAATTACAAGTTATCGAGCATGATTATGAACTTTTAATTCAACCACGTTTTGCAAACTTTAACCTTAAAATTTGCTTCAAAACGATAATGCAATTAATTGAATTTTTCGCTGATTTTCGTGCTGCCAGATTTTGAAATTAGATCCCCATATTACACTGCTGCAGATAATTTATTGGTATGATTAATATATAGGCATCTGCAAACTCCTCATATTTCGCGAAATAGTAGTCTATTGTAAAGGTTTATGACAGAAAAGCTCTTCAATTATGTGAATATTAACGATTATCTTTTTATTTTATTTCTTCGCTAACACCGAACGAAACGCTAGATGTAATATATTACTGACGCATAGATGGAAATTTTACAAATTGTTTTTCATTACTTTTGGTAAATAAACCATGTGCTCACATGGAAAACGAACACAAGTCTTTTTTATTTACCCTAATACTTCGAATCCTTATTTTTTGGTTACATCAACACACAATGAGGCTTTACTTATATTCCCACAAGTTAAGTAAGAAATAGTTGACACAATAAAAATCTTGCTTGGTTACTATATCATTTTATAAGAAAGAATAAACAAATCTATGTATTCGTAAACCACTAACTTATGGTTTGAGTCGCAAAACGTTAGAAGTTAATACAAAAATTACAATAGCACACTTAGTGTGGAAGCAAGCAATCAGTTTTAACTTTTATTCCTAGACCCAAACACAAAGCGTAGCTTCATTCCATGTGTGATTACCTTCATTAAAAAATTAAAATATGCTTAAATGGTGCTGGCAACACTAAAATATCAAGCAATATGTTAAACAGCATACAATTCCATGGGAATTTTCAGGTATTATATGCATTTATTGAAAGTGAAGCATTTTCTGTGGATCGTGTGTAAAAATTATACACAAAATAGTGAAAAGCTATATATATGGTAATACAAAGATAAAGGTACATTGTAGTATTTAATAAAAGTTTGGAGAAATATTGCGGAAGTTAGTTGTACATCGGTACATGAGTACATGTTCTTCACATAACATTTTAAATTGCAGATTGCAGAAACGATTATTTTACACAACAACGTGCCCATATGGACTCATCAGGAAAAATTATAGATTTTACACAGCTTCGTAAAACTAAAATAGAAATTCGGCAAGATGTTCCGAAATCTTGCATTACAAGAAGACCACATGCAATAATGCGACGAGCATCACTAAATGACCGGATTTATATTAAACGCAGAGATGGTAATTGTTTTCATAGTATACTCGTAACAAATTTTTAGACATCAAAGTTTCACGTTTAACTCAATTGTTTCTTAATAAATGCCCAATAAATCAAGTGGCTTCAACAGAAAAATAAGAACAACAACAATCAACATTTATTTGCATGGTAAGCCAAAGTTTTATAAATTATTATTATATACATATCATTAGTGATTTAAACAATATTTTTATACCCACCATCGAAGTACACGTGAAAGACTAAATAATATATGCCTGATGATGAATAATTAAATTGCTCAGCCTACTATTTCGAATGTACACAATTCTTTCTCCGGTCTGTTGGTTCATCTACACAGATGTGTTATAGTGATCATGGTCACGGTAATATACAATTATACTTGATGCCCAAGAAAGTACGTTTTGTTTTTCAAAAACCACTGTTGATGTAGGCAGTGATTTTTAACTTCTACCTTTTGATATGGACTGAAGTAAAACTTGGTATAAATAGTTTTCACTTGTTTGTCATAAAATTGGCAAAATTGATTACCAATTGATAATATCTTTAATTTTTATAAATTCGTGTGAGATGATGGTGGGCCCTAAAAATTCATCCTAAGGCTGTAAAAATTGTTTTTTAGTTGTGTTTTAAAATTTTATTTGGCTTTGTTTATCGCATTAGTAAAACTTAATTAACCCGTTGGTAGTTATAACTCTAGAGTAGAAAAGTTGGAGTAAATTATGCTGTATTTAGAATAAAAATGATTATCTGTTTGCAATTTTAACAAGAACTTAAGTGAACGTGTAATTTCGCAATTGACAAAGATGACCTTTTTTGGTACCTCCATCCCTTAGTAAATTCATTGTCAATTTTCAAAAGTCGAATAGCCATAAGTTTACTTGGGAAAATACGGTTCGTAATTTGCGATTTCAATTCTGAATTGATAAGAAAAACTATTGAAAAAAACTTAGTTTTCATGGGCCTTTAAGGTTATATTTAGAAAAGATTCTAATTTAAAGTCATGAGTTCAAATTAAACAACAGTTTTGATAGTCAGTTGAACTGTGGAGTGTAGGACGCATCATTTTTGTTATTTTCTACTTACAATCAACGGAACTCAAATGTTTTAAAAAAATGCGATTTTTACATATTTTTTTCGAGATGATACGAGATTTAGGTCTGCTCAGTAAAAAGTATTAATTAATTAATTCATAAAAAGATGACTTACTGAAGTACTTGCTTTTTGAAAAAGAAAAAAAACTGTCTACCACTTGTTGCTCAGACAATAACTGCTTTCTTCACACAATTGCAGTAATTAAAGAAAGTTTTAGAATAGAGAAAAACAACTATTGAAACTTATTTTGGATCATTGACGCATTAAGTAGTTGAAATGTAGCGAAATGGAAAAATTTGAGAATATTTAACTACTGTAATTTAGTTTATTTACTTGTGAGTAAAGTAAGCTCTCGCGTATCACTAAAAAATTATGACATTTATGCTCATCGTCCGGTGACACAAACATGTTATCCACACTCGTTAAGTAAATTGTAAAAACTTTACACTATAATACATATTTCAAAAACAACGAAGGCTTTCAAATCAAAAATTAAGTTTTTCGTCCTATTATTAAAAAAAATTTATTTTTTTTGCTTTTTAGCAGCAATTAAAATTTAAGATGTTGTGATCTTAAGTTGAAATCCGCGGCCAAAAGCACGTGAAGTAAAGCTGCGGATTTGCGTAAACTTGGAATATGGGCTATGTCGTGAGAAGCTTTGAAACGAGTTACGATGCGCGGTTTGCCTTTGCATACTGCTAGGTACTGTTACCACTACTTGATGACGTTTGTCTCAGAAGGACGCTATACAATTTTTCAAAAAAATTAAAATATATTTAGCTCGTTCAATTAAGCTCTTTTAAAAGATGATTACAATAAAATTGCTTAAAATAATTTTTCATTTATTAGCCATAGCCTTAATTGGCGTAAAATGGTGAATATCTCTTGTTGGTATGCATTTCAAAAGTGCGCGACATGATATGCCGCGTAATCAAGAAAAGCGGCATTACCTTGTATCAATGTCGCAACTACAGATTTATCCTTAAAAAAAATCTTATTTCATTCCTTCGTATGTATGTAATATTTATTCCGTAAAATTTGCTTTTTTGCACAAATTATAAAAAAGTAAAAAAAAAAAAAAGAAGTGTCCATTAGACACATTACACATTATATTTTGCACTAATTCAACTCCGTCCGAAGACCCTGAAATTGACTAGAAAACTGAATTAATATGCAATTACCAATTTAAAACTCGATGCATATATTAGTACTATATAAATATTTTGTGCAAAAATGATCTTGATAGAATAACTGACGTTGTTATCATTTCCACATTTCCGAGTTTTCACTATAGTAATAATATAAAATTTTATGGAAAATTGTTAAATTTTTTTATTTATAATTTACTGAAAATGGCATAAGTAATGCGACGTGTGGGAAAGTTACAGAACGTATTAGGTTAGCAAAGTGGTTTTTCGGTATACTACTTGGCAAACTTGGCGAGCGCGCATTTGCTGATAGATTTTGCGCCCGTATTTGCTTTTAGGAAACTAATTATGTAAATAATGAAAATGTATTGCAATTTTCGGTTTTTTAAGTAAGTTTTATAACTTTTACTTCGTTTAGAAAGAATGTGTTTGTTCGTTGTCTCAAACTAAAGCGTGTTTAAAGCATTAACTTTCCGATCGATACTTATATATATATATATATTTTTTTTTTTTTTTCAAATATTTTTTATTTTTTAAACTGTTTTGAATATGTTTGTGAGCGGATTATGTGAAGTGTTTGCTTTCTTTCACAATGCCTATAATATCAGGGTGGATGAACGGCTCGCTCGTAAGGCCATATTCTGGCCTTTTGAGTTGTCTCTTCACTACTTAGAAGAAAGGACGATGGGTCTTCTGGTCATAATTTTTATAACATTATTTTAAATTTTTCATTCCGGAACAACAGTCACAGTGTAACTCGCCAATATCAATTTTGGTGATAAAAGAAAAGTTCAAGGAAAATTAGAATGCCTAAAATATCGCTGTGCTCGAGAATACGTGTGCGTTAGACGTTTTTCGATTCGCTTATTTGAATTTTTTAAACAAAATAATAAAATTAACATCCCTCTCATTTGTAAAATTAAAAATTTTTAAATTTATGTTTACTTCGTTAGTCAAACGGGCATTATAGTTAATTTATTCGTAGTCCAAGTTAGTAAAGCTTTATATTAATTTTTCTCTTAGTATAATATATAATTAGTAGGTATGTGTGGGTCTATTATGTCTTTTGTGCGTAAATCTAGTGGGTTTTTGCAAAATATATTATATGTTTATGTAGATACGAAATGTAGTACTTATCGAATTACTATTTTAGGATTGTTATTAATTCTTAAATGAACGAACTAATCTGGCGTGTATTTAATTATAAAGAATTCTTAGTACCTAGTGACGCAAGTTTACGAACAAGCCGGGAAAAGAAAGTTTTCTACATTGGTAAGGTAAGGCTGCAAATTGAATGAAAATCGGTATTTCGATTAAATTCTGAATATTAATTTTCGGGATTTCTGATGTGCTGAAAAATTTCCCTGTGATCATATCTAGTTAACAGCTGATCGCAGACTTACTTCATGTAAATTTGCACATAAAATAACGAATAAGTAGTTCGACTAAAAAGTCATGGTAAAAGTGTACATATGAAATTTTCTCGTTTCTCATTATTGACTTATTGCATTGCGTGTATTACTTTCTGCATCATCTTTTCTGTTTTCATGAGTATAAACGAATACAAAAAAAGCAGGAATCAATTACATAATTACAATAGTTGATACCTTTGGTCACCTAATAAGATTATCTGAACAGCTGACTGTCTTATGATTCATTTAAAAATGTCTAGAGAGAATGCTTCGATCGTGGTTTAAAATGGGTGGAAAAATATATCGGTTTTTCTTTGTGCACGCGAAATGTATTATTTATAAATTGTGCTCAACTTACATTTAATTCGCGTAGTTATCAAAACGGAATGATTGTTTCAAACTTTCTTTTAATGCCACTTTATCGCTTCTACGCTTTCAGTTTTAACTTATTTTAATTTTTGAGTTGAATTGCGCTATCGCTAATTGGATTCTGTAGAAAATATTTGCATAAATTAATAGTTTACAGATCAACAGCTCAACAATCAACATAAACAAATACAAAGAAAAAAGGAATAATCTTGAATGTGCCATCTTCAAGTAATACCTCTCAACATATCAATCAACTCATTGGTCTACAATCAACATGTAAGTAACCAAGCAATAACAGCCCATGAACATCAATCAACAATCACATGGTGACGACAACAAAACATATGTGAAGCATATATCCAGCAACAACATTTATTCTTCAATCAATATTATATGGGAAAAAGTGATTTGCAACCACTTCATTAGTTGTAGCAATTTAAAGTACATATTATTACTTTTATTTTTTTCTTATTTTCCGGCGATAATGTGCAAATCATATGTTGTTCCCCGACTGGAACAGCGTGATAACATATAGATATGACTCGTAATAAACCAGATGCGAATTAAATCCAGCTTTACGCTATATTAAAAACAGGTTAAAGTGTTTTAGTTGTGCAAGACCATCTTAAGTATGCAACACCATTACGCTTAATATACATTTTCTCTGCGATAGTATGCAAAAATTATTGGCATATAGAGGGCTAGTTTCCACAGCTACCCTGACATGGAATTAGTCTGAAAAACAAACAAATGCGTTCCATGCCCAGCGTAGTAATGTTTTACATCCTTTCACTATTTTGGATTAATTTTTGGCATCAAATACTCGAGAAATTATATCTGGTTGTCATTTAAGGCTTATTGTGTGTAAGGACCTTTATGTAGGAGGATATTCAAGACATGGTCTCGTTTCATCCTAGTTTTGCATATTCGTTTACTATATCAACATGTTACATTTTACTGCTGGAAAGCGGTCGCAAAAATGGTTCGATTCTATCCATTTTCTTTAGCGTTGACCTCTACGCCAAAGCATGTCAGTGTACCAAATTTCATTGAAATATTTCTAAATTTCGATCCATAGGCATGTCTGTCTATACGTGGGCAGACATCTGACGGACAAACAGTATTAAGTCGATTCAGAGATTAATTCTGAAGTGAATGGTGTAATAAAAGACAGTTCCACTATCTACTTTAAGTTCCTTCCTCTGTGGATTGCATACAACCGGGCAAACTTATAGTATCCTTGATAAACGTAGCGTAGCTTATAATTATATAATTTTTATATAATTTCGATGTTCCCAATTCATTGCACTTAACAAAAAAAAAAAAAGTTTCCATGGGCGACTAGCATGTTTATTTATTTAGATACTTGGACAAAAAACACTGAACTCAATTGTTGATGCATGGGATAGCCAAAACACTACGGATTATTTTAAAGCGTTTGAGATATGCAACATTAAGAAGGGCTTCGACTGATACATTAGTAACAGTTCAATTTTTTTACTGTTGTATACCAACAAATCAAAGAGCTTGTATCGAAAAATTTGTTTATTTTTCCTACTTTGGTTACAATTTTAATGGAATTCTCTACAAGTGTACGAGAAAAAATTGTTGCTCTCTTACTACGATATTCCAATGGTTTCAAATAAACTTAGGTCCTGGTTAGATATCTTTGACTTCAAGCAAAACTTTAATGGGACCGCCAAATAAGTATAATATTATTAGCCTATGATCTGCATACGTTGCAGCTAAAATGTTATCTTTGGCGGACAACTCTAAGGTATAAATAAGTTTAAAAGTTTGACCCTAGTCCCTACTTTTCCCTATGTGATCTGCAATCAACATGCAAATAAGAACAATAATGGCGCCAACAAAGATACATCACCAACACAGCAACATGCCCTCCAACATTCTTCTTTCGTTTAATTAACAATTACGGAAAGAAATGTACTGCCAATTCATTAACTTGAAAAGCTTGTATATATAAATAAATGTATATATGAATATACCAATATATATAATTATTATTACCTACTACTGTTATAATTATTATTATTATTATTATCAAGAGAAATCGTAATTCAATACATTGTTTTTTCTACTTATTGACACTTATTTTTCTAAATCAGCCGATATGGAATATAAATAAACATATAAATTAAGCTTTAGGCTTAATTATATGACAAAAGAAAAATCATATTAATAAAATCTTTCTTCATGAAATGTAAAAACTTGGATTAATATATTAAATTGTGTTGAAAACATAATTCTATGAAATTTGCAATTAAAAAGAAAAATTACTGTGTCAATAGAAGATTTTATCAATATATTATGTGCTTGGACTGCTCTTGTATGTATGTATGTGGTGAATATTTTTCTTGTTTTTGTTTAGGAGAAGGTTCTAAACCTTTGTTTACTCGCCTTGATATTACTGCTAATCCGGCCGGAGATCGTAGAGACAGCGAAGAAAATTCAGAGTGCGTTGGCGAAAAACAAAAGGAATCAAAACGACATATATCTAGAACAACAAGTGTATGTTCCCAATTTTTATGAACGCTTAATGTCAATATTAAACTGTTTTTTTTTTTAAATATTTTTGTGAATTTTAGGAATCTACCTCACCTGAACGGTACCGCGAACCACCAGGAAAGTCGATTCTTGGTCGAGGATCAGACGGTTACAAAACAAGGTTTAGAAAGTCTGAATCTCTTGATAACCTTCCGACTTGTTCACGCTATGTTAAAGAGTCACGCGAAAGAAAAAAATCATTTTATTCCCATAATGAAATTCGCGGGAGAGACCTCTCAAAAAACAAAAGTAAATCAAAGTCGCCTCCAGAACTTCATAAAAAGACTTCAAAGGTACCATATTTTCGTGATGAAGTTCGTGAACGTGATCGTTTGAGACGTCTTTATGGGAAGGAAGAACGCAAGTCGCATTCTAAATCTCCTCGATATAAAAGAAAATATCGATCTCCAAGACGTTATCATCGTTCATCTAGTTCTAGAAGATCTAGAAGCAAAGAACGTAAATACCGACATTTCCGTGAAAGTCGTCGTCGGAGCAAGTCTCGATCACGCACTCGCTCACCGCGTCGTCGCCATCGCTCAAGATCTAGGAGAAATCATAGCAGCTCACGCGATCGTGGACATAAAAGTCTGAGCATTTCAAATAAAGATGCTCAGTTGCCTGCACAATTTATTACCATACCAGTAGCATTACCAGCAGGAAGCCCGTTTCCTTACGTATGTGTATTGAAAAAAATTCGATTTCGCGATTATATTTTACAAAGCTTTTTTAATTTTAGACCGGCTTTCACCAGCTTCCTCCGCCAGCGCCATATCCTCCTTATTCGGTAATGCCCATGATGCATCAACGGCAACTTAGACCGATGCCAAGAAGAACGTTTTTTTTGCCACCAGTTCCTTTCCTAGGCGCTAGCGGACGTCATCGATTTGTCACTCCAAATGATTGGACTAATCATAAAACACGGCCAAAAAAACCACAAACCTAATTATAAGCTAAAGACTTATTTGAAAAATAAAGTATAACTTAATTCTAAATAAAATTATATAAAAACAAGTAAGAATGTTATATTCGGCTTAAGTCGAATCTAACATTCCCATCACCATTCAAATCTTTGACGCCCCATCCTTTTTTTTATTTATTGTCATAAAAAAGTGAATTGTACAAAATTTATGTTTCGCCTTTTACTTCATTAAAAATAATTTTTTTATTTGATACACATCGCTGGTTTTATTAAAAAAAATTAATCCACCAGGTCGTGGCGTCCACCATTTTCTGTCTTGCTATCTTATGATTGCTTATCATAAAACTGTAAAAAACTGAAAAAACGAAAATTTTATCACTTGTAACTGTGTCGGTAAGGCCGATTTTTTTTTTCTTACATAAATAGGCGAATTCTTCGTTAAGTAAATGTGGAAAATTTTAATCTTCTATGTTTCATAATTTGCGAGTATTGAAGAGACAGAGAGAATTGCATTCAACTTACGCTCCGCTGCAAGTTTGTACTCTGTTCAATTTAGCCCATTTTCAACCCGCATGCAAAAATTTCAATGTCTCTAGTAAATTTTTTTCCCGTATCTTCATTTTTGCGACCGGGAGTGTCAAAAACACATCCCACACAGACGAACAGACAGCTTAATCAATTCAGAATTTGATGCTGATAAAGAATATATATATTTTATAGGGCGTCTGAAGCTTCCTTTTGGGCGTTGCAAACGCTTTGGTAATCTGAGTATACTCACCATCCTTCAGTGTTGGGTGTAAAGGTATGAAATTCAATATTATGATAAAATACAAAAATTAATAATGAGGATCAAAAAAATTAATTTTCACCAAAGATAACAGTTAATTGAAAATCCCCCTATTAACGATAAAATAAAAATCACAGCGAAAATCTATGGCAAAAAAATACTCGATTTTTTGAAATCGGGTTAATATCGAAAACGTGTTATAATATTCGAAAATTTTCTATCATGTTATATTGAAGCCGCTACTTACGAATGCCGTGTTAAATGGAAGACGCTGATACGTATGTTCATTTGTGTAGAGAAAATTCGAGAATATCTGTTTATAAAGAATTGGCATCAAAAGTAAAATAAAATAAAATAAGTAAATACAAATAAAAGTAAACGGTCAAAGACAAAACACCAAAAATTCAATATTGGGATACTTATCCTAATATATTTAATTTCTTAAACAAGCACATGCATAAACATTTCTACTTCAGCGCTAATGCACCCAGGTGCAGGTATAGTAAATATATTGCATTCTAAGTAGAATGCTCATTTCAGTTTTTTTTTTTTGTTCTCTTGACCTCTTCCATAGCGTTTATTTACAATGAGTGTATGCTCTAGGGCATAACAATTTTATTACGTGAATGTTGCCAACGAAATGTTCCCACTTATAATTGATTGTAATGAGCTAAGTAATTGCAATGCGTATAAAGAGATAAACAGATGTAGTAGTGTTCTCCAAGCATAAAAATCAATAGGTAAACCTACCAAAAATGGAATGTCGAAAATGTCATCGTGTTCGTATAATACCATTGCACACAGCTTCAAGAAAGAGAAAGTTTTTCTACATCGTGTTAAAATCGTGAATTTACTTACGTTGCGTTATATTTTAAAGCCAATCATTAATTTATATCAAAAAAATGGCTAAACTGTTGGGTTCGAGTGGATGGTTCTATTGAAAGATTTTTACTATAATAAAATCCAAAGAGCACACCAATACCATTGCATCTCACAGACGCGCGAGAGAGATATAGTATTTGCTGGAATTGTATTAAGAAATTTTTTAGCAAACGTTACCTGAGGTAAGCGGAGTTGTTAAATGTAGTTTCTTAAAAAAAAAAAAAATACATAAATAAATCGAGTCATTCACTCTATTAATTTTTTTTCATATTTTAATACATTACTCGCAGGAAACTGTGCTGATTTTCGCTTTTCAACAAATATAAAACATCTGTGTCTCAAATGATTTAATTGTTCGTTTTGCCTACCTATAAGCTTAAAACTGGTGAAATCTGGGAAGCAATCACGTATTAAAAATTTAACGTTCGCTTGAGTGTTCAGCTATTTATCAAAAACGGCTGAATAACGAAACGAAAGCTAATCTTCAGCTGCTTGATTATTTCCGTGTGTTTGTTTATTTCTTTAATATAAGATCTTTTAACATCTTACCAAATATACAGAAAATCCTTAAAAGCTTTTTGGAAATGCTTGGACTGAAATAAAATATGGCAACCTTCACGCAACCAAGAGGAATTTGTTTTTTTGGCATGTAAGGAACATTTTGCTGCTAATATTTAACAGCGGAATGTTTTGTTATCGGTTCGTAGTAATAAGTAAAAAGATCTCTTTCTTTATTGATATCTCGAAATATTTTTTAATTTTAAGTTTTCTCGTTAATCTCAGTGCAACTAATAAATATAGTTCATAAAATTCTAATTTGATCATATTTCAAAGTCGACATAAGTAAATTCCCTATTAATTTTTCTTATTTGAAAAGAAATGCAAACCACTTTGCACATGAGAAACAATGGAAAAGAAAAGCACCCTTGTTTTTTAAAATAAAAATAATCAATTAAAAGAAAAGGGTTTTCAATATAAAATCTTCATGTAAAGCAGAAAAAGTTGCAGCCGTTAAATAAAAAACTAAATTAATAGAACTTCAAAAAATTGTGAAAAGTTCATTTATTGGAGAAAAGTGACAAAAAGGGAACAAACTGCGTCCTTGAGATTGATAGAAAAGCTTGGCTTTCGTTTTCCTATGTGTATATATACATATATATATATATGTATATAGAATAGTATATGCGTATATATGCATAAACACGTATGAAAGATATAAAAAAATTTATGAGATTTCTTTTCAAGACTATCTCGAGCACCACGCATAGTGGTAATTTCTATGGATGATGGGGACAAAGGTATTGAAAACAATTTAGTCCTGAAAAATCCGAACGAGGCGACATTAAAGCCATCCAAACCAATATCCACGTCAACAAGATCTAATCCAACGCTTTGCGAAAAGCAGCAGAAATCACTTAGTTGCAGTAATGACAACAACGGCAGCCAGACATGCAATGTACCATTTGTAATTAGAGGCAAATTTATTGATAGCGGAAACATTGATATAAGTTGTGCAATGATGCCAAATCAAAGTGATAATTCCGCATCACCGCCTTCGCCATCATTAACTTCTTCGTTGTCTGGCTTTAACGATGCGACAACTTTGATAGAATTGCGTCAATTAAAGCGGGATTGTGATCCCCAGTTTTCACGTTTTGCTGATTATTTCGTAATATGTGGTTTAGATTTCGATACTGGCTTAGAATCGGACCGATTTACAGGTGAATTGATATATCGTTAAAAAAAATCAGTCTGCACCACTACCATTGCATAGAACATATTAGCTTCGCTCATAAGTTTAAAAAGTCCAATATTACAAATTTTTGGTATATCCGCGCTATAATTAATTATAATTAATACTCTGATTGGCGGACTGATTAACTTTCTTTATAAAAGCGAATGTGGGAGACGCTTTATCATGGCGATTGACGTGATAAATATTTAGATAGATAGATAAATATTGTTATGACAAAATATCCTGTACCATTTTAAAATGTGTATGTAGGCGTAGTGGTGTAGGAAAAAATTGGGCATCACCGACTGCAGGTTTCTTGATTATTTTTATAAACTTAATTGTCTCGTAGGTGATAATTTGCATTGCTGTCCCTTGGATCGGGCATATAAAAGTAAACCTTTGGCTCATTACCCTGAAAATGTTTCCTGGAATCCTTTTGATGCTCATGGCATATGTATGGTATGTATTTGTGTATACTTTCAGTGAATAACTTATTCATACAATACCCTATCATCAAGGAAAAAACTTTTATGCTAACTACGTTTGCCCGCTTTGTTTACATTTTTATTTAGTTGACAAACGTGACAAATTCATGTGCTTATGTTAATAATTCTTTCCTATTTCATATACGTAATAAATGACGCCGTCACATTTTGTTAGCTAACTGTGTACATATTTAAAAGTTTCGGACCAATGAATAATTTTAATAGACTTCATGTACATTAAAATTTCACTTTAATATAAAATTTGGTGCTCTCAACCTAGGATAATTCATTTAAATGCTTGAAATATTAATGGAAAATATGAATTACCCTTTCCGGATGGGATATACATATTTACCAGAAAATTTTGATGAACTTATTATTTTATCGTTATTTAATTACATAATTTTATCTCAAATTTAGTTACACACAATTATTAGGAGTCAGTCCGCTGCGAGGATCGCTGCGATCTTCATGTGGATCTGATAAGTGGTTTCAGTTACAAGTGGTTAACGGTTTTATTCCCTTCGTATAAACACACACATATCTTCCTCTCGGTAAGGCGTTACATGGGCTCCTTTGAAAATTTGAAAAACATTATATTTTTGCATTTGTTTTCTTCGAACAAAAGTTAATTTTTAAGGCGAATTCGGTCAATGATTTCAACAGAAATATTTCTTAGCTTGTTTAGCTTACTTTATAATTTCATTGATCAAGATTTCAATTAAAGTAAATATTTAAATTAAAAGAAAGTTCGTAGATTGCAATTTCAATTTAATCAAATTATTTTTTTGAAACGTCTTTTCTTACCTTCCAACAATTCTGTTTCCAATAAAATTAGATATTGGCTTTTTTTTCTTAAGGCGCAATTCGTAAAACGAATTTAGGTAGTGTAAATTATCCGCTTAATTCTTAATAGGTCGTGTCCTCCACTATAAAATTTATGCATTTTGCTTAATACTAGGCGGAAAGGTTTCGGACCTGAGTAAGAAAAAGTTCTTCCTCGGCGGGCAGCTTTGAAATTGAATACTTTTAAAGCTATCGGAAGTTTTGCGGAAATTTTCAATTATGAGCTTTCAGGTTCGTTGTTGTGTTTTTTTTATTGTCCCGGTTCCAGTGTTCTTTTTTCAGGTCCCTATGTCAAACTTCAATAATTTTTAAAATGCAGTTATCCGACTCCTATTACAGTAAAGTGAAGCTCATCTCCAGCATCAGCTATTTTGCAAAATAATGAAGGAAATGTGAGTTCTGATATTTCAGAACCTATGAAGAGCAGTTGCTTGTTGAAAGAGTGGACATTTGTTGAATTTGGGGACGAACAGGTGTCATTAATTATGGTGGCTCTAACAGAGCCATGAGATAATAATTTTTGTTTCCTTTGACACGCTCTGTCGGATCCTTCCGTGATAAGTGTGTTTCCGTAAAGTGTTACCCTGATAGGCACTTTTGAAAGATGAATCGATTGTGCTTATATTGTACCCGCAGTAAATTAAACAAAAATAAAACAGTGGAGGAATCTACAATGCTTCTGTTACACACTTACGGATTGTTTTACAAAAATTTGGCGAAGTAAATACACGTAAAGACAAGCTGGAAAAGTAAATTCTGAAAAAAAAAATCTGTTGGCTATTACATAAGAGAATACATATCACGCCTCTACTATTTAGAAAATTCACTTTTCAGCATATTATCAAGTTTTAGTCACTTTTCAACTCGGGGCCAGTGCAGTGCACGGGGAGAATAACGGCAGTGAAAACCAATAAATAAAAATATATATCACAAGTTTCAATAGGGCAATTAGTTTCAAAGTTTTCTTCTCTAGTATATTCGGACGACTATTTATAGAAAAATTATTACCCTAGGGCTGAAACCTATTAATCCTATATATCTGAACGCCAACATAAAATGAGCCACACAATGGGACAATCCCGTTGTATTATATCATACATTAAAAAATAAAGTTATTGTGGGGGGTACTCATAAATTTGAAGCCGGTGAGAATATGAAGCCCTTATTTAGGTTTTCCTACCAATGGCAACGTTCTGCCCCATTTGCCCCATTATATGAAATTTCGTACACACGCTGATTTTAACATTCTATCATTTCCACTTTGCAGCACACAGTATCTGAGCAGTCTTTTTTAAAATCGATTTAAATTTTCAAAGGAAAAAATCTATAAGAAATAATAGAAGCATATAATGAATAACCAAAATTAGTATATTTGATGGCTCTTCAGTTTGCGAAATGTTCTCGGCTACATATTTATACTTATTGATCGAAAAAATTTATTTTAAGCCGTAAGATTTTAAATACGGCCGCATAGTTCCGTTTTCTCAGACGATGCAGATAATGAAACGATAAAATTTGATTATTTATACTCTTGTTATTTGCTTTATTTGCACTTTAGCTTTCACTGCCTCAGGGATTACGCTTTCGTACACAAAAACATAATATTGAGCCGAAGTTTCATTCTTTTGCAACAACACGTGAGGATGGCAAGCGGTGTTACGGCTTTAGTCTTGTCTTCTATGAAGAGATCCGTAATCGTAATATTTGTAGCGCAATGCATACATTACAGGTAAATAACTGCACTTTTTGAACATGTTTCCTTTTTTTATTTGAATAATTGCAGTCGATGTTTATTACGGAATTATCAAGCGGCCAACAATCGCATTCTTTGTCGCGTGTTAAAGATGGCCCAGTGAGTCGATCTTTGCCTCGTCATTTTAAAGTGGCAGGTCAAGCGCCCCAATCAGCACAAAGTTATTATGATATTACTAAGGATAAACTTTACGTTGCCAAAAGTATTTCATTAATATGTCAGATACCGTATTCATTTGCAGCTGAAGTATTTCTCACAAATTTGTACAAGTAAGTCTGTGTGTAGCCTCTTGAAATACATTTTTTTTTTAAAATTTGCATACACATTTGATATGTCCAATGCTTTTTGCTTAGGTGCCTTCCGCGTCAACCCGGACCAGGTATAAGTCTCGAATCATATGTCTACAACATATTGTATGAAGTAATGTTACCTCAGCCAGGCAAATCAATACGTATATACCTGCCTCCGGAGGAAGCACATTTATCAGCTGTAGCTCTGACTTTGCAACGACCAGATCCTACGAGCGAATTACCTTTACTCGATTTTCCTTTGCGTTTATTGTTTACTTACTTGGGAGTGGAGTGCGTTATACAATTGCTTACCTGCGTCTTGCTAGAAAATCAAGTTCTATTACGATCAAACGGTGAATTAAATTAAATGCACAAATATGCTCGTTTATGTGATTTTCTTTTCTTATTTTAGATTATCAAAAGCTTATGACTGTTGGCGAATGCATTACATCCATTCTGTTTCCATTTGTATGGCCCCATGTATATGCCCCTATTTTGCCAGCTGCCTTACATCATTTTTTGGATGCTCCGGTACCGTTTGTTATGGGCTTACATGCTGAGTGCGAAGCAGCAAACAAGATAGGATCTGAAGCGGCACTTTGCTTTCTAGATATCGACAGAAAGGTTATACAATTGCCTGAAGAATTGCCAGCGTTTCCACATAAAACGGACTTTATGGCTGAAATTATATCGGTACTAGACAAGTTCGAAATAGAACGTGATCGCGCCCACGAACCAAATTTAAAAAACGGATATTCGTCGAGAGACTTTGATGTGATGATAAACAGTTGCACATTACCAAGTGGCATACAGGCAGCTAAAAGGGGCAAGGATCGTTTTCAACAATTACAGGAAACGGTCTATACATTAGGCTCCCCTGATATTGGGACCCATCACAATTTACACTATCAACCTTTAATTGCTCATCCTACGAAAATTGACCATGTGCCACGCATTGCAGATTTCCTAAGACGCAAGGGTACGCCCCGAACTTTATCTCCGGTAGCTGGTGGTGAATGCATTGACGCCGCTACTCCCATCTCCGTTACAATGTCTCCAACAAGGTCTCTTAGCAAAGAAATAAAAGCAATTATACCAAAGCTAACACCTGAACAGCAATACTATCAGGATTTACGCATAAACATTGCGTTACGTGAAATATTCCTCAATCGTTTTGTACACATGTTTTTTGCCTATGACTTTTTTGTCATCTATCCAAATCAGGATCGAGAGGAGTGGCTTTCGAATCGTGAAACTTTACAAAATTTTGATAAATCATCTTTTCTATCAGATCAACCAGAACATCACAAACCATTTCTATCACGTTTTCTTGAATCTCAAATGTTTGCTACTTTAGTCGATAACAAAATACTCTCCGTCTGGGACAAAGAACCAGATACTAATTTACAAATTTTCGATCAACGCGTAAAATTATTAAGGTGAGCTTAAATGGAATGCAACGAGAATGAATATGAATAATAATTTAAAGTTGATCTTTTATTTGTATTATTTCTTTTTTTTATTTTGTGCAAATAAGGAAACGTCACGGTGAAAATATGATATGTGCTACTAGCTATGAACCGTGCGTAATGAGCCACGGGGTTCAGCAGTTGTTTGAAAAACGCCTAAATTGTGTTGATATTGAAGTAACACCGCCAAGTGAAATACTTTCCAATCGTGCGGCTTATTTTCGTAGCTTCCCCGTATTGGATAAAAACGTCTTAAATCAGGAATGTGCATCGAGGTAGATTCATAATATTTTGTTTACAACAATTACACATTTTAGTTTATAATGTAGATGAGCTTTTTACGCGCGATTAAACCTGACACTCATTTTGAATTCTACTCAAAAAGAGAAAAGAAAAAAATTTAACACTTGTAAACGTAACGATATTATTAGCAAAAATCGAATACACCTACATGAAATGTTTAACACTATATATATATATTATATATATATATTATATATATATATATATATTATATATCATCTTAAATTTGTTGTCTGTTTTTATTTAATTTGCTTTCTCCGATTTATTTAAAAAAAAAAAAAATAGAGAAAAATTGTTTACTATTATTAACTATCGGTCTTTTTACGGTCTTCGATTAACCTCATTGTTTTCTTATATATCTTTTATATTCTTTTTTTTTTCTTTTGTTCAAGAAATCAAACTATATTGTGTCAATAAACAAATTAAAAGACATCTTTTAACACATTTACTGTATATTGATTTTAATTACCAACAAAATGTTAACAATTACTTTCAATTATTATTATTCCTAATAAAATGAAAACTTTTTAGAGTCCATTGTGTTTATTTAGAATAACTTAGAACAAATGTAAACCCCTTGAGCATGTTTCAGTTCATCGAATAAGTGTATGTGTGTGATCCTTTCATGTGTTTCTCTTTGCATATGTATATATATATATATATGTATATATATATATATATATATATATATATGTATATATATATATATAAAAAGATATGGATGTGTGTATGTATGTATGTATGTGCGTATATATGTACATGTATATGTATATATCTTTTTTCAAAATTCAGAGGCAGCAGTTTGAGACGTGTAAAAAACGGTAATAAATGGCGTGCCAAAGAGATCAATTTGGAACAAAAAACAAATGTCTCAAGTAATGCTTTAAATAGATTATCGGCAAACTTAAGCACAACTGAGTTGAGTCCGGCTTTGATTGCTCAGGCTAATTGGACGTTTGTGGAAAGATTATTAAAAGTAAATCGTATAAGCATTTTTTTTTCCCAATTTGAAATAAATTTTCTATATGAACTTCTAAAAAGTTTCTTTTACAGGATATTAAATCAAAAACCAAACGTATGTTATTAGAAAAAATGGGAACGGAAGCAGTATCACTGGGCCTTAATAAAAATAGTGACGGCATTGAAGAGAATACATTAATTGCTTCATTGTGTGACCTATTGGAGAAAATATGGTCACATGGCCTGCAAAGCAAACAGGGGAAATCAGCGCTGTGGACCCATTTGCAAGCCTATTTAGAATTACAAGAAGCACGTGCTAAAGGCTCTGTGAGCAACAGTAGCATTACCACTCATAGTGCAACGAATATTTCAACAAAAGCTCTTCACGCTAGCGGGAACGAGGTAGAAGTTACCAGTAATTATGCCGTATCTGCTCCAGCTTTAGCCTGGAATGTTATGCGTAAGCGTATGGATTGTAAGTACTGAATTAAAACGTCAAACCGTTATTTATTTATTTTATTGAGATATATTAATTGCAATTTCATACGTAAAACGTAGAATAGACCTTACAACAATCTTCATCATTGTAAAGTATTAAATCAATTTTCTCATGCCATTTCCAAATAGCAGTTTGAAATCTGTCACATTGGTTTGTGTGAGAAGACTTACGAAAACTGAAAATTTCCAAGTCTTTTTATTCCTTACTTTATATAAAACATAGCAGTTTTCATAAACTGGTCTGAGATGGCAGCTGTTTAAGATTTGTTCCGAGGCCAAGGGATTTATCTGTGCATATTCTAATGTAAAATAGTGCGAGGCGCGAACCGCTATTAACTAGTTACCGCCACCCTGCAGCTTATTCATGTAACGACTTTCAAATCGGTCACTCCTATTCAATTTTATAGTATGTCATAATCTCATTTTTTTCTCAAAATCGAATGCATAGAAGCAAGTTATGAAAGCCCCATAAGCATGGCCGTCCTTTCAAATGTCCATTTGTCCTTTTGCACAGTCTTGTAGTATCTGTGGTAAAGATTGTCACAGTATATCGCCTGCAAACTTCCAACACACGCTCACACGCCTATATAATAAAAACTCGTGATGTCTTGTGCTGGTTACTCATAAAGTATAACACATACGTCATATAAACTTCCACTTTATGCTGAAAATATCAAAAAGATAGCTGCACCCACCGAATATTCTAACGTATGCAAATTTAATTCTTTTCCTTTAATTATTTTTTGAATCACGGTGATGGGTATGTATAAAAGATTCGGTCGCGACCCAATACAATTTTCTTATTTATTATAATTCCTTTTAAGAGACGAATAACAATAGCATCTAAAGAAAATAGATCAATGCTATCGAAAACTCTTTACTTGATCGTTGGCGACAAAGAAATGCTCAAGTTTTCTCAGAAATAACTCAAATGATTTTTTGCATATCGCGGTAACAATCGGTAACAATTGTTATCATGTAACCTTAAAAAAAAGAAAACAAAAAGAAATCATCTCTTATTAAAATTCGTGCATCGAAATAAGTGATTTAAGAAAAAAAAAAAAAATTGTTTCCATATAAATCGTTTAGCCGTTAAAGTTTTCTTAAACCCTAGATTCTTTTTTTTCTCTTCAGATTTGTCGACTTTTCAAACAGACATAGAAAGTCCCCATAGTCCCAACCGCAGTCGATCAAGGGATCCGAACAAATTTGTAGGATTAGAACAATTGTGCCCTTTGCCTGAATCTTTGGAATTTGACGTAAAGTAAGTTCAAGGTATGTTAAATTCTCGGTATGCGCGCTTACAAATTATGTTTATTGATAGAAATGTGATGGCTTTGGGTGATATTAAGACACAATTTGGTTACACAAGAGCTTGGGTACGACTCTCATTGGAAAAGAAGTTACTATCGCGACATTTTCGCACCTTATTATCCGACGAAGCTCTTTTACGTTCCTTATATAAACGATCAGCATTTTTGAGATGTGAAGACGAGAAAGAGCAGTTTCTCTTCCATCTTCTTAGTTTGAACACAGTCGATTATTTCTCTTTCACAAACACTTATCCAACAACAAGTAAGTGCGATTTTTTACATACTCCATTGTCATCTTACTATGTATCCTTCCTAATTGAAATATAAACTCAATAAATTGTAGAACTTCCCTATCGTGTTGTAATATTCCCATCACGTAAATATGGCTCATATCATATCTCCAGTAATGCTTGGATCATTATATCCGGAACTCTAAATGAAACTCAACGTGTACCAATACCTAAAGGGTCTCTGGAATTTATATTTCATGTAATTAAAATGACTTTTAACACAATTTTCTCTTTAATATCAATATCCGCTAATGTCACTTTTAGTACAAAAATTTGGGTCTATTAACAACTATGCGCATTGGTCACGATAATGCTGGCCCAGCAAATAAGTGGCTTGTAGAACATGTGGTCATGCGCAACGAAGTAACCGGTCACACTTATAAGTACAATCAAATAGTTTGTTTTTTTCTTTTCTTCACTGAATTGTATTTTGTTTCATTAGATTTCCATGCGGCCGCTGGCTTGGCAAAGGAGTAGATGATGATTCCACTGAACGTTTATTGGTTGGGCAAAGGGCATCAGTAAATGTTAGAAACACTGAATTAATGCCAACTTGTCGTACTCCCCCACGAAATCGCAGCCCAAGTATTCAGCGTGGTCAGGATTTGCCACCGCCTTCTGAAATTCAACACAAATTGGGCAATTGTGTTAATGTTATAGTTAAATGGCACTATAAACCCAGTCGAGATCGCAACGTGGGCAGCTTAACAAATTTATTATGCGGTGATAATGGTTTAGTAAAATGTTTGGAAAATGTTTTTTTATGTGGTTTTCGTTCAACGCGTTTTTTCGGACGTAACCTTTATGTTTGGGATTATTTTAGTAAGTTTTTATCATCAAAAGTTGATAAACGGATATTCTGGTTTTTTAATGAAAACATTTCTTTTTCAAAAGTTAAAATCAAGGAACAATTTGAACAATATTTACAACAAGAGCAGCAACAGCACTGGAATGAATTAAGTTCCAATTTGGACCTATCCATCGATGAAGAAGGGGCTAGTTCGCAGCAGCGTCGCGAATTAAGTGTTGTATGGCGCTACTACATACATTTGGTAGATGAAATAAATAATGCTGGAAGCACATTAGGTAAAGATGGAAAATTTCAATTGCTAATGTGTCTAAGCTTAAGGTAATTAATCGATTTTCTCCTCAAAGTTGGGCGACGTGAGAAGTATTTGTGCTAGGGAATAAAAGTTATTCTTTCACCTTTTTCAAACTATATCTGAGCGACTGAATAGTCACATATAAGATACCCGATGGAGTAGAGGAAGAGCGCGACATAAGAGCGAACAAGTTCGCACAGTCTCAAAGCTACCGTTAACATTTGACGTAGAACGTTTCGTTAGTATAATCCTTTGTATTTTTACTTATCAAGCTGATGAACTGACTTCAGATATTGTGGAAACAAGATCGATCTTCTGCTTCTCGGCTCTATTCTGTTTTACATAGCTTAGAAGGATTGCTTTGAAACTCATCAAGTTAATATTTAACTCATTATTCCTATAGATTGCATGCAATTTAAAAGAATTAAATCGGCGAGAGTAAGGTGTATTTCCGTACTTCCATTTCTGTTCAACAAACAAACTTTTTACAATTTTACTTTTGTAAAAATTGAACTTAAACCTTAAGAGTCGTAGAAATGAATTTAGACAAGTACTTCTCACATTCCGCCTAAATAAATTATCAGTCTAATCAAACTGAGATTTTTTCACATGTTTTTTTTTATATGCAGAGAACATTTATTGACTCGTATGATACCAATCATGGCTATGACAAAAGTTACGCAAGAAATGTATGAGGATGACAGTTTTCTTAAGCGTAAAAATTTATTGACATTTCTTATACAAATCTTGGAACCGTTAGATGATTGTCATATAGTACTGGAAAATTCCATAACTCAAGGCATTCCTTCGCAATGTTGAAATGAATGTGATGTGAATCAAAGGATATGTTTAATTTCCCCTTTATATACTCATAAAACTTAAGCAAATTGAATTTAAAACTTGCCCTCCAATAACTTATAATTAATTATCCTTAATTAAGAATTAAGAAGGAAAGCAATCTCTTAATCCTTATATAGAATCGAACCAAAGCAGTGCAACAAAAAAGAGATTTTAAAAATTCAGATTGTAAAGCAATTCAACCAAAGCGTTTATTACATATAGCTTACAACGGCATGTAACCGATGTCTGCAAGTAAATGTATGCGTATATATTAGTACAACTAAATAATATAATGATAAATGAAATTAAAAAACTTATTCAGTGTAATTAAGAAGGTAGCTAAATGTATGAAGTTCATGTTGTACTTCGTTTATATACTTGCCAAAGTAACTTTTTATTTCGCTTTAATCATTTAATTATTTATTCACTTAAGTTTCTTTTCATGCTTTTTTTTTATTATTAAATTGGTACCAAAGATGTTTGTATTACAATTACAAAAAAAGTAGAGATAATCTCTGTTTTTTTTTTCTTCTTTTTTTGTTCTTTTGCTTTCTTGCAACTTTTGTATAAATTATTTTACATGATTTACATTTTATTTGAAATATATACATATATTTATTTATTATTATAGTTCGCGTTTTCATATTCACCGCCGACATGTATTTATTTTAAATGTCATACATTCTTCGATCTGTGAAGGAGAAATATTAATCACAGGACATGAGTCGTCTCTCTTTATTATTTAATTATGATTCTTTGTTTGACTTTGCGAGTGAGTGGGATTGTAATTTGGAAAGACTTCCACCGGTCTTCTTGTAACTTTTTTTTTCGTTTTTTTATGAACACGGCGAAAATCTTCCATAATCACGCCCGCAAAACTCAAGTTGTCTCTAAACTACTACAGATTCTTCAGATAAAAAATAATAAAAAAAAATTCTAGGTAACTAAAAATTTCTCTAAAATTCATGTTTTTTTATTTCTTGATGTTGAGATAATCAAGTTAGCTTAATCTGCCATATCGTCAATGTTTGCAAATAGGATGTATTTTGCATAAGTTTTAATCATTATTCATATTTTATTGGTTTAAGAAAAAATGCCGAAAATATTCTATACGTGCTCACGAATTTATTTTAAACCGTGCCTGATTTATAACATAACACATCAAAAAGGACAGCATCGAAGAGGACGAAAGAAATATTAAACATGCAATAAATATTCTTTGAAAAACTAAATTGCCCTCATGTTGTGATTAAACTACATATTCTCGAATATATACATAAAAGACATTCAAGCTGCATTCAACAATGAGATTATATATTGACATCAGAAGAAGGAGCCTTTCGTTTTTATATGCATCACCGATGGATGGACAGGAGTTATATGCATTTTGTCAAAACGTTTGCAACGTCCAGACGGAAACTGCAAAGATCTTCAAAGATAATCAGCATAAAGAATTTACAAAGCGTTACGAAAAGGCATTTTTGAAACAGATAAAACGTGCGTTTAGACAAAAAAAAAAGTTTAAGATCTACTTACATACTGCCGTTATTGCATTAATAATAACGGAAGATTCCCTTTGGGAAATAAAATCTACGCGTTTTACAAAATGAAAGAATCATAAAATAAGGATGAGCTATCGGCATTTTTGGGATCGGTAAATTGCTATTTGTCGATTTGTGAACAAAATGAACAAACGAAATTTTATATAATTTAAATGCCTTACTATGAGGTGGAGTGACACTTTCTTAAAGAAACAATTGTTAGCAGAGACGATCTCGGCAGCAATAGAACGATTAGCAGTTGCTTGATAGCTGCGAAATCTGATAAAAAGGTTTGTGAATTGTATGAACTCATGCTTTAGTATACCGCAAATACTTTAGCTTGCGGAAAGGATGTTTATCGCGGGATGTACGTTTATTTACTCTAGAACTGTTATGGAATAAACTCCTATAAGAACAACGTACAGTCGATTACAAGGAGTATACTACATCAATACATTGTTGATGACATGGCATGGACCATGAAAATAAGAACATGGTTTCTAATGGTTTACATAGCCAAAGGTGTCAAAATTGAATCCTCGAAAAGGGACACCAATCCATTTTTGTCTACTGATTAAAACAGTTTTCGAGCGTGTATATGCGGACTATACACTGGACCAATTTCTAGTCAATATATTTTCGCCTTGGTATCTGTCTATTGCAAATAGTTTGAGGTAAGTGTGACACCGAATATGCATAATAATACCGCCATACCGAATTTTCCATCTGTCCATGACATCCATTTGAATACTGAAGATTTCCGATCATTCTTAAGAGGAAATTTTATTACCCATAAACCAAGCGCATTATAGCATATATCCACTAACGAATATGCAGAAAGGTCTTTCCAAAAGATGAAACACAACACGACTGTACGTCGAGTAGATTTAATAGCAATTTTCTCAGAAATATTACTGCTCTATGAATGATCAATTTATTTGCTGAAAAATAAATTCCATGCACTGATTATGTTTAGATGATCGATTCCTTCTTATATAGATGATGCCAAACGTGTCAATCAATCTCGAATCGATTTGATGATAGAGCGGTAGTACGTGAGTACTGAAAAGGAAAATATTATTGAATTTTCAGGCGACTTACGTGGCAACGTTAAGTTGAACGATGGCTGCGTTTGAAAACCTTACCGTCTCTGAGTAAATAGAGTCATGACAGTGCGGCAATAAGGGGTTGAACAGCAGTAGAACCGATCGCAAGTGAAACCAAGCAATGCTTGTTGCGGGGCACATAAATAAGAGCGCGATAGAATCGAAGAAACAAACTAAATATGAAAATGGAATTCGAGCGAGAAACCCGTAGAAGCTGTCGACAAACAGAGGACGAAGGGATGGGTGTTAAGCATCGGATTGAGAAATGTCGTACGATTAAGGTGCAAGGCGGATTTCTACCAAGCTTCAAGGAATATTTTTTCTATAGTTTTCTATCATTAATTACGAAGGAGCGGAGGGACATGTTATATACAAAGATTCGAATGCATGGCCTCGAATGTAAGAAGAATAAAGCAACATGTGATTTGATATTTGCCAACAAATCAGCGAGCAAAATTATATGTATGCAAGTGTAATATACTGTTGCTATTGTTGATAGTTGACAGCAGAAAAAAAGAGAGAGGGAAAGAATTCTTTTAATGTTGCTATTCACAGGACTTTTTTATAATCTGTTTGCTTTTGCCACCTCTTTAGGGGAAAACCTCGTTCGCTTTGGTCGCATCTCACTCAGTGGCCACTGATTTGTTCTGTAGAGAATCAAAGTACCTAGTAATTTCTCTATTATTATTTCTTCTCGTTTTTTATAACTGAATCTAAAATATATAATGCGTCCTTTGTAGGGATTTCTCATTTAACTCCAAAGAAGGATTGGATTTCTCCAGAAGCCAGTTTTAAACATTGCACTTGCTCTTGACAAACATCATTTCTAGCTTAACGATAACCTAGAGCGATTAAAATTAACATTTACAGAAAGCCGTCTTTGAGTTTCATTCTCCTTGGAAACACGTTCACAGTACTTGTGGAATGTTGCCAAAATTTTACAAAAAGAAAAATATCCAACGTAATTCCACGACTTTGAAAATAAAACTATAAGTGCCCCCGTTTTCAAAAAGAAAAGTGTAGTGTTTTAGTTAAAACATTCTTTCCATAGTGTAATTACTATCACTAATAGAATATGAATTGATTTCATCCCATTGTTGGCCTGTCACTTTCCAGCTGAGTTCCTAAAATCAAAAAATGTTGCTGATGTTATGAAATCTTTGAAGAACACAATGTTCCTTATTTATATTTAAAGTGAACCAAGTACACCAAATATTGTTACATCATATCGCCCAATAACTTTGCTGGTTACACTCTCCAAAAAAAAAATGAGAAGGAAAAGAAGAAGAAAAAAAGAAGAGTTGAAAAAACGTAATATAATATGATTACCAATGAATAGCAATTTGAGCAATTCACATATAATCACAGTACATCCGAGCAATGCTATCGTTTAGTTTCCTATATACGAGATGCCTTGGAAAACAACAAATATTTTTCAGAAATATCTTTAGACGAGTAGCAACAACCATTTGATAAAGTTTGGCACATCGGATAGTATATGAAATTTGAAAAACTACTTATAACACATTTATATTTAATTCTAAGATCATATCTTAGTGATGGAAAATATTACGTCGAACTATCTCAGAGTAACGTTTTGGATAGAAAAGAATGGTAAAAGCGATTTGGACCTACGGGGAAAAACCAGAAATCCCCAATATTGAGATTTTACAAAGATATCACGCTAAAACATTGAGGTCAACCATCAACCGTCAACCATGATCATCCATGATGACTCATCTATTGAAACGGTTAGAGATGAAATTTAGAGATTCAGTAAAAATTATTTTGAGAGATTAAGCAATCACTGTAATTTGTCGGGTATAACGCTCCTAGATGGTACCTAGAGCGAAATTAGAAGATTTATTTATTGATTTATTTTATTTACTTACACATGAAACTCAATTAAAACAAATTAACAGACGAATTCTATTGACTCTTAAAAGTAAATTTTACACTAATTAATATTAAAAGCTAGTATAAAGAATAAAATATATATATATATATATTCGACTTCGAGATGGAGCATCATCAACAAATTAAGGAACTTAATTACTACGCCCTACGGAAAAATTAAAATGTTATGGGTACCAAGTCACATCGGTTTATTGGGAAATGAGCAAAGTATGCTGCTTCTGCTCCTCTAATTATGAATGATGCCATGGAAAAGCTGGATCTTCAAAGATACATTGGAAGAAAAATTAATGAGAAAATTGCAGAAGCAAATTTCCAATGCCATCATCAACACTACTCTTCCATTAACCCTCAATTAACTAACTCCACCTTTATATCCAACAAATGTTGAGAAAACCAAGATCCAAACATTTTCGAGAATTCGCCTTGGTCATACAATTACAACTCGCCAATGGATCTTGAAGAAGTCTTCCTCCCCAATCTGCAGTTGTGGACAAACTCCCACTATAAAGCACATTCTCTGCGACTGCCTTAACTTTTCTTTGGCTAGAAGTATTACATTTGGAATTATTAACCCTAAGGACAGCTTCAGAACGGAATATAAAATTCAATATATAAATTTATTAAAAGTACTAGACTCAATATCTAATGTACATTTATATAAGTTAGGGCCGACAGCTTGTGTTGCTAGTGCTCAATGTCTTTTTTTAGTCTAAGAATTTATTTCATTAGTCTAAAATCATAATAATAATAATAATAATAATAATAATAATAATAATATATATATATATATATATATATATGTATTTTTTTTTTTTTGTTAATTATCAATAATAATTCATGTATAAATGAATAAGAAGAAGAAACAAAAGAAAACACAGAGGCACACC